GGCCATCTATGATTCAATTATTTCCCTGAAGAAATTAGATTCTTCTCAAGTAAGGTCTACTTTTCTTCTCTGGGATGTGACCCGTCAATCATCATTCATTTATGTGATCTTGTCAAGATGTTACACTTACAGGATGGCTTTTCACTAAGCCACCACTAAGTAATTAGGACATAAATGTTGACATTCATATTAAAGTTGAGGTGTATCATGTCCCATATTGTTTTCAGTTAGAACATTTGCCACTACATAGAAAATACTCCAAGGAAGTTGTTTTTGAAGACTGCCTATGGCTCTGAATCTATTCTACTCATTTAATGTGCTCAGGTATTTGAAAATTTGGTCAGTGTTCAGTTCATTTATTTTAAAATAAACTTCTGCATAGCAGAACCTGGACTAAAGTTCTGCAGGGCATGCTCTTAGGGCCGGACCGCTGCATTTTCGTTCTTGGTTGGGCCATCTGCCAGTGCTGGGACCTTCTGCTCCTTTTCCTTTTCTATAAAGCAAGAGGCCCAAGTCCTGTGAGGAATAAAGATGATATACTGGTAAAGTGTTAAGCACAAACGTTCAGGAATTTATTATTACCGCAAAAACTCAACTTACCAAGTTTTCAAAGGGTAAAAAATATTGACACAGTACCTGGCATCACGGACTTTCTGCTCCAGTGACAGCATCTGACCTGCATTTAAGAGTACAAGGAATTTATAGGAGCTGTTCAGAAATACAACACTGAAGAACTCTGTGGATCCAGAAGTGGGGAGGGGCACCCCCACTGCAGGATATCAGGCGAAGCTTCGCGGAGAGAGTCAGGACTGTGGCTGGGGACAGGGGAGAAAGTGTGGGGAGGGAGCAACGGGCAGGGAGGGGAGGGCTTTCCAGGCCGAGGGGGCAGCCGGGGCGCGGACCGGGCGCGTCCGCAGGGCTGGAGCAGCGCCCGAGGTGTGATGGGGGAGGCGAGAGCAGCAGGTGTATTGGGGGTAGAAGTAAGAAGAACATGGAAGATTTTTAAAGCCATGCACCAGTGTTTGGAGTTTTTATAAGCAATGGTAGAAACAGGATTAAGTGATCGGGAGCAGAAGCAACGGGCTGCAGGATTCAGGGGAACCTGGCAGTCACGTGACAGCCGGTGAGGACGGTTCAGATGGGCCACCGCGAGCAGAGTGTGGGGCATTTGGAGGGAAAGGAAGGGCAGAAACGGGTGCATGTAGAGGCGGGCCTGAAAGGGTCCGGTGGCCATTTGGCTGCGGACAGGGCGGCAGAGGGGGTATCAAAGCTGGTATCAAGATGTGGGGGACAAGGGCAGCTTTGAAGACAGGTGTTAGTCGCGGGGCTAGAAGGGGCTGAAAATCCTCCCGTCCAAAGGGACGGGATAGGTAAGGGGAACGAATGAAGTGAGCTGGATCGGGAATACGACAGGGAGGCGTGGGCGACAGTCCTGTCTGCCAAAGGCGACAACCTCTGCGCAGCTTTGACCAGCTCTTACCATGGAGGCATTTCTTTCTAATAATATCAGGTCTTTCCATTTGTAGGAGAAACTAAACTTCCAAAATTTCAAGTAATTTCTCCTGATTCGTGCCTTTAGATTTGATTTTTTAAGAGTAGTGCGTGGGTCAAACAAAGCAAGGGGTGGGAAAACTGAAAACTTATGATGCATTTGTAATTTCCCTGTTTTGCTGATACTCTTATCCATAGATGTGCTTAAATAACTGTCTGTGTTTCCATTTAGCATTTCTATGCCCTTTCCATTTGCTTTAGGATGAATACCACGCATACTTACCGATTACTATCCGTACATATACCAAGTCATCGCCCCAGTGGTGTCTGTCTCCCCAGTGGTTTCTTCTGCAAGATACCAGTTTCAAGAGATCTTAAGCAATCAATACATCCAAAATATGGATTCTGAAATGGATGATTTTTCAGACTGGAGGACATATGGTGTTCATGTGTGTTTGTGTGTTGTTTATATGGTTTCAGGTACAAGGAGAAGTGTGGACAATGGCAGTTTTGAACAGACTAAATTTCTGGGACTTGAAACATAAGAACACAGGCAAGGCAGGTTAAAACGTCTGGGTAACGGCACAAAGAAAGGAACAAGATTTGGGTAAAAGAGCTTTTCACTAGATATTAACTAGCTGATTTGTTAAGCCGACCATAAAAAACTCTCTCTCTTCAATTCAGTATGGGGGTGTGATAATAGCTTACCTGACTATTTTAGCCAACATCTCATAAGAAACGCTGAGGGCAAAAAAATGCACTGATATTAAGGTAGAATGGAGGTATCATTTACAAAAATTCAAACAGAGCTTTCAAGATAAGCACCCATATAAAATCTAGCATGAAATTGGTCTTTATGTAGCAAAGCTTTGATGTCACTGAACTAATGGGAAATTTTTTGGTGGTATAATCAGTGAAGGTTCTGAAAAAAGAATATGTATCTCATTACTGAGAGGAAGCTAATGGCGTAGACCAGGGTCTGAGGTGTAATTCTGAAGGTAAAATGGATCAACTGATTCTGCTCTCAATCATGTCCCCTTCCCAATTCATCTTGAAGCTGGTTGCCTGGTAACCTGGGATTATCGGGGACAATCATGGCATATCGACATTGAGGATACAGGCGATCTGTTCATGTGATTGATCCCTGCTCTCTGGCAGGCTTGCTGTGTCACAGTAGGTGGCTCTCCAGTCTAAGAGGGAGGGCTTTGCTGTGCAGGGAAAGAATGCTGGATTTCAGGGCATAATCCCACCTCTGTGGCATGCTGGTGTGGCTCTTGGGGAGGTTCCTGGACCTAAGACAGCCTCAGTTTCCTCATCTGGACAGTGGAGATAACCTTAGTACCTACCTTCAAATTTGTCATGAGTCTTAATGGGATCATCTATGTAAAAGGTACGAGTGCAAGATATGATCATTGTTTATGTTACCAGCCCTACTCTCACTGTGACTAAATTGACCAGGCTTTGCTCTTGGAGATAGAGAGAAAAACAGAAGCTATTTATTACTGGAAACTGAATTAAACAGCTAGTGATGGTGTTTTATGAATCAGATGGAATTCTTTAGCTGAGATGAAAAGAAACTGACTCTGACCTATTAAGGCCAAGAGGAATGTAGTGGAAGGCTATCTGTGGCAGACATATTCAGTGGGTGGCTCAAGTCCTTTATTTCCATCTATTGAAAAATTGACATACTATGCTCTTTTTGTTAGAAGAGATACTCCTCACATCAGCCTTAAAATTGTCCCAGTGTCTGTAGAAATCTGTAACATCTGTGAAGTGATTAAGTCATTCCCAGCCTGCACAACCGTGGATTCCTAGATACTTCATAAGTCCTCTCAATACAACGGAAGTCTCATATGCTCTGGCGGGAATCATAACATGAAAAGAGGCCCTTGCCCTCTAGAAAGCTGGTCCTGAGCACAACTGCTGGAAAATATCACTATGAATGGAGTAGGAGAAACACATTTCTACTGATGCATCTAGTTGTCTTTTTCTTTTCTGGGACTGCCTTAATGTTACGGGCTGTGCCTGACAGCGCACACCACGTCCCACTGTGCATACACCTGCGGCAGATTCTCCTTAAGAGCTGACTTGCGGAGACACATCTAGTGCTCTGGCGTGGAGGGTGTGGCGTGTGGTGGCCAGAGTTGTGAACGGCAGGAAAGTTTTAAGAACATTAGACTCATTGTCTGAATTTGTTTTAGATTGAGAAGGTGTTTCTGAGAATTGCTTCATTTAGTCATGAATCAACAGATTTTGAATATAAATGTGCCAAGTACTGGCTAGGCACTGATGATAAAGTGATGAACAATATCAGCTCAGGTCTCCTTCCTTCTTACTCACTAGGAGAAGACAGACCCTCAAACAAACTATCAATCAAGTGTCATAAATGCTGTGATAGAAAAAGTATGGCTACTTAGGGAAATTAGTGGAAAGAACACCTAATCTAAGGGTTCAGGGAAGATGTTGTTATCTTGCTTTTGACTTGGCTCTGTCCGCCTTTAGCAAAATTGTTGGCTTTTTGGCTAGTGCTTTAACTAGGCACTTAGACCGATATCTAAGTGAAAGCAATTAGGGAACTCACATAAGAATGTAGCTGCCTTGATTTCCGCCCTAAGCTTTAGATGGGTAGTAATACAGGAGGGCAGATGAGAGTTAATAATGTTTCGCACAAGGAATGCATATGTCCTTGTGTCCTTGTTTTCGGCAGAGATTGATAGATCTATATAGATAATTTTTCATGGATAACATAAAAAATTCAATTAAGATCTCAGTAGGCATTTAATATAGAACTCCTAAATGAAGTTCTTTTCATTTGTCTTGAGCAACAAATTGTTTCCTGGGGTGATAATCATAAACAGCTTGATCTGGCAGGATGACAATACACCTTCCACGTTCATGGATAAAAGCACGCTGGCTGATGACTCTGAGGTGCCGAGGGGTCTCTGGTGAGGGACAGACATGTGGTGGGTGGGCTGCAGTGGTTAAGATCGCCATTTAAGCACAGCTATCCAGGGGTGCCTAGAACTTGATAGCACGGCAGATAGTGAGAGAGGAAGCCAAGCCCGTCAGGGGTGGCCTCCAACTCATGGTTGACAGCCAAGGATGATGCGTGGTGGACCAAGCAGGCCAACTCACGTGCTCGCTCTGAAAGCGCCCTTCGTGGGCTTGTCGTGGTGGAGTCTGGGGCAAGCTTTGAATTTTAATCGCTAACTGGTTGGTTTCTCTTTTAAGTTCTTTTGAAGTACTAACCTCCTTTGAGATAGCACGCTATATATATATATATATGTGGTAGCCAAATTTATTCCAGATTTAAGGCCTTCGCACTTGCCACTCACACTGAACAACACTGTCCGCAGATTGTCCCAGGTCCGCTTAAATGGCAGTTCTTGGCAAAGTCTTTCCTGAGCCCTTATTAAAGAAGTTATAATAGCTTTCTGTTATTGTTTTATTATCTTATAGCATTTGGAATCACCTTAAAGTTTTTGTAATTATATTTTTCTTTATTGCAGGTCACCCCTTTCTTGTCTGGTAGCTGCCTGAGAACAAGGACCTGTGTCTCTTTACTGGGGGACCCTCAGAACCTACAGTCAGCCGGGGCACTTACCTCTGTGCTCCGTGAAGGCAAAGATCGTATCTTTGGCAACTTCCTAAGCCAGATAACCAGCACAGTAAGTGGACATAAGAGATTGTCATTAATGTATAGATTACTTTAATGAAAAATATGATTGAGTTTTTTAGAAGAAACTGGTAATGACATTAACTGAACACCTTATGGGAAAAAAGTGCCAGTTTTCTCTTAACCAACTTTTAAATTAATTTAAACCCAGCTGGTATTTTTGTGTATTTGTGTGTTCAGCTTGCATTTGAGTAACATTCTGTGACAGGTGCTTTGAGAAATGAAAGAGAAGAATAAGAGTGGTCTGTGCCTTTCAACACGTTATGGTCTGTTTTAAAATAAGTGGATGAAATGCAGTCTCCCTTCTTATCTTTGTAAATGGTGTCTGGCTGTGTTCTCGGGTAATAGTGTTTGTTGAAACAATGAATAAATGGACAAAAGTAAGAATCAATGAATGAATAAGGAAGTGATGAGTCCCGCAATAGGAGTTAGAACCAGACGCAGCCAACTGTCAGTCTGTGAATCAGAGTGGGAGGATGTGATCACCTGGAGTCTGTGACTCATGGAGTGGACTGAATTCATTTTTCATCTAATGGAAACAATTCACTGGTTCCTCATGTTCATATTGAGAAAATATTTTAAAGCTTTCTCAGTCCCCTGTGTGCTATTTCTTTCCACCAGACCCCACGGTAAATAAGTTTCTGACTTCCATGGGTTGTTCTTGATGTCCTCGTCCTCGGAGTTCGTGTGCTGAAGATTAAGTCAGACATCACATCTCAGTGAAACGTTTTACTACCACTCTTGCAGTAAGTAGTTTCTCCTACTTCTCAATTCCTAGAATGCTCTGTTTCCTTGCCTGTAGCACTTAACCTTTGCATCGTACATTACCATTATTTATGTCTGTGTTTGAGCTTCTGTTTTAGACTCAGCGCCTCAAGGGTGAGTTTATTGCTGATTTATCCGAGTAGCCAACCTTCAGTAATTCATTCAATAAATATTTGCTGAAGATGTATCACATGTCAGGCACGGTGCTAGTTTTGGAGAAACAATTGCGACAACTGACATCAACAAGCCAAATACTAGTGTGCCCTGTATTGTAGAGCTTAACAATAGAGCGTAGTATTAATGACTTTTATTTGTTGAGCATTTCATCCATATGATGAGATAAATATCTTGGCATATTGTACTAGGTAAGCTCATAGGTTTTAGATTCCATAGAGTAAGGGTCCTCTCCTGGCTTTTGTACTGACTAGATATGTGACTGTAAGCTGGTAGTGCAACCCTTGGAGCTTTGATCTCATTTATTACCCCAAATAATGCTTTGTAATAAATCACACCAAAGCAGATTAAAACAGAATTTATTAAGCTCATGGTCTGTGGGTTGACTTGGGGGTTCTCCTCGTCTGGGTCAGGCTACACTGGTTTCATTTTGAGTTGCCAGTGTGTCTCGGAGGAGCTGGTGAGGCCCCAGGGGGCTGGACACATCCAGGAGAGCCTCACCCTTCTAGGATGACTCCTCTACATGTGGTCTCTCACCCTCCACGATACAGACCTGGACTTGTCACCTCGTGGTTGTGGGGGCCCAAAACAACTAGCGGTCTAGACTCAGAATCTGTCACATTCTATTGGCTGAAGCAAGCCACAAGGCCACACCAGATTCATCAGGTAGGGATTCCATCTTTTTATGAGAATAACTGCAAAATGACATGGCACAGCCTGTGGATACGGGGCTGGCAGGGGGACGGGGAGGCATGAGGGATTGTCGGCTCTTTTTACACTTCATCTACTACAACCCCAGTCTGCAAAACAGGGGTGATATTAACAGTCCCCACTCTGTAGTGGATCATGAAAATTACATAAAAGAATGTGGGAAAATCTGGGATGTTAACTGGCACTTAAGAGATACTGGAAATTCATTGTTACTATCACACTGCTTATCCTCGCAACCACTTGTATGGAGGTATTATAAGCCTCATCTTAGAAATGAAAAAAGTCAGAGTTTAGGTTACTTGCCCCTGATCAAATAGTCAGTTGTAGAACCAGGATTCAAGTCAAAATTTGACTTCACAGCTGGTAGCAGGTATGTCCTAACTGTCACCAAACCTGTTTTGTGTTTTTTTCCTGGACGCATGGATAGACTACATTTCCCATCCTTTACTGCTGTAGATGTGCCCGTATGATTGGGGTCTGGCCCTTAAATAGCAGTATTGCTCAGAAGGGATGGAGTTCTGATTTCTGAATTTACACATAGAAGAAAAATGCCTGAAGATTAGAAACACTGATTTTGGATTTTCGTGAGACAGAAATTAACTTTTATTGGGAATAGCTGATGAAATGTTGGAGTCCTTTACAGCGATAACTAACTGTTATAGTTAAGTGATAGAAAGCTAGCTGTAACAATTAATACCAGCTGTAATAAACTAATAGTAGCTATAGCACACTGATATTAATGGTAACAAACTAGCTCATTAGAGTTATAGTGGTTCCTAGTGATAGCTAACCCATACAGAGTTTAATTGCTAAAACACTCTAGGATAGTGAGAAATTTTCTGGCAGTATTTTGCACACGTTAGGCACCTAACACTCACTGAGGAAATGTGAAGATTACAAAACCAAATATAATTCTGTCTCAGTACCATGTACCATTTGCTCTTTATTTTCCCTTTCTGTCTGTGATTTCCCCCCTTTCCTTCCAGCCAGAGAAATTTGTTCCTTTTTGACCAAACCAGACTGACTATAGGGTAGATATATATCTAACATGGGCCAGAAGAACAAATTTTCTGATTGCAGTACCATTATTAGGATCCATTTTATCTCTATGAACAGAAACATAATATTTCCAGGCAAAATGAAAAAATGTTTAGGTGGTCTTTTATACAGATGAAAAATCCTCACCTAAGGCCTCTATTGTTCAGTTTTGAAGATGTTATCGAGGATTGTGAATCAAGGACACTCTTAGATGATCATGAAAGTGGATTTTAAGCACTCTCAGCGGGAAGATAAGAGTTGAAAATTAAGAGTAGAAAATTAGAAAGATGGAACAAAATCTAGTGAAAACAGATAAAAATAAACCAACTTTACTAGAAGCCACCAGGCATGGACTTCAGTCTCCTATTGGCCCGGAAAGAAAATCCATACTGATTGGCACCATTATAGGAGCTCTAGAGAGACGATTAGGGCTTTAAATTATGACAGTCACGAGACCTTTGCTATGACATCGCTTACAGAATATGCCCTGTGCCTTAGAGGGTCGTCCCATCACAGAGAAGTAGATTATATGAATTTGAAGAAGTCCAGTTACATGCCTTAAAAGGAGAACAATTAGCAATACAGCGAAATCTCAGTGAGATAAAATCCAGCTTTAAAAAAATAGCCACTTCTACTCAGTAACCTCACTTTAAAAGAAAGTATAGTAATATAGCTAATGTTTAATGCGTACTTATGCCCAAACTCTGAGTTGAACAGGAAAGAGGCAAATAAAATCGAGTTGAAATTAGAGATGTTGTGAGAGCAAATGTTTTTGAAAGTATATCAGATATCAAGGAGGTTTGGAGAAGAGGAAAAGACTAAATTTTAAAGTCTTGAGTTGAGTCTTGGTTCTGAACATTTGGTCAAGCATGTTACCTCTCCAATTCTCTGTTGATTCATTTATAAACTGGAAATAATAATAACCTCCATTGAGGGTCAGTGAGATAAAGTATGTGAATGTACTTTTCAAAGCTACAAAGACAGGGCACACAATGGATATTTAAACTAATCTTACATTTATACACATATATCTAATTATTTAGAGTGGGGCCTGGGGGGAAGAAATAGCACCCAGGGGACTGAGAAAGCTTTAAAATATTTTTGCACCTATTCACATCTAGAGAAACAACATGATGTGTCCTTTTTGCCCAGTAAACAAGCAAAAACTCAGAACCAAATAAACACACGGTAACAAAAACCCACTCCAGGACAAAGCAAGGGGCAACATTCAAAGGCCTTTGCTGGTGATTGTTACGTGAGAACAATAGGAAATAGGGAATAGGAAATGCGAGAATTCACTAATATATTTCATTTTCTTCCAGTAAGTCATTAGAGGCTTAAGGGAAGTGGCTTGTGCTAGTTTTCCTTCATTAAATATTCATATTTTCTAATGGAAATTGTTCTGACACATTGGGGAAATTGAGCAACTTACAAATTTACGCCTCAGAAAGAGGCGTCTTGGAGTTTTCAGTGAGCAATAGCTAATGCTTTAATCATTAACATTTCTTTGATTTTTATACTTAAAAAGCTGGAAAGCAAAGACGGGTGTGTTTTCCATGTTCTGATAGCTTTTGGTCTTGATGCCCTTTTCACAACCCTTTTGGGTGCAGATCTCCTTTCGCTGTATAACATGCTACTGTGGCTGCCTTAAGAGAATCATCTTTCAGTTCTTTGAGGACAAAACCCTCCCACTGTGTCACCTATATGTGGGGAAAAAATGCAAATGAACCACACTTGTCCTTTGGGAGTAAAGCAAAGGGTCGTTCAGTTTCTGAAAATTTAATGACCAGAAATTTGAATACGAGATGTACTCTGTTTTTGTTTGGTTTTTATTGAAGTAGAGTTGACATACAATATTGTATTAGTTTCAGGTATACAACATACACCTGACCATTTGTACATTTGACAACTGCATACATTACTGAATGCTCACCGTACGTGTGGTTACCACCTGGCGTCATACAAATATAATACAGTATTCTTGACTATATTCCCTATGCTGTACTTTCATCCCTGTGGATATACTTATTCCTAGAAGATAAAAGAAGACTGGAGTTGCTGGGTAACTGGGAAAGAGTAACTTAACCTCAGTTAGTCAACATTCGTCCAGGGTATGTTTACGGAGCGCTAACTATGGGTCAGGCACAGTGCTCAGGTCACCGTGGTGAATGAGAAAAGCACGGCCCCTCCTGGAGCCATGAAGGCAGACAATTAAATGGCAACAACACAGTGTGACGGACGTGATGGCAGGGAGCTGTGGGGACACACAAAGATTAGGGAAGGTCTTTCTGAGAGCAGGAACAGGAGGAGGGGGTTCCAGGCGGTGTTAACGATATGTGCAAATGGCCAAGTAGGCAGAACAACTACGGCATGTTCTAGATGCTAACAGGCAGTGTGGATACCATGGTGCTGACCCCCAAAACCTAACATGAGCCACAAATCGGATCATATAGGTAAATGCGACATATAACTTCAGATTTTCTAGTAGTCACGTTAAAAGTACAAATAAATAGATAAAATTAATTTTATTGTTTAACCCAGTATATCCCAGATATTATCATTTCAATGTATAATCAATATAAAAATTGTCATGAGCCATTTTACATGCTTATTTCATACAAAATCTTATGAAATTCTCTGTATTTTGTATGCAGCGCACATCTCAATTTGAACTAGTCACATTTCAAGTGTTTTGTGGCCACAGGGCTATCGCATTGGACAATCCAGGGCTAGACAGGAACAAAAGGGATTAATTAGTGAGAGGGAAATGGGCATGGTGAAAGGAGCCACAGCCTAAACTTGAAAAATTTCTTCATCTGTAGCCCAGTTAATTAGACCAAGTAGTCTTTAAGGTCCTTCTAGTCGTAAATTCTGTGAAACTCTATCCTATCTCAATGTAGGACTGTAAAGAAGTGTCTGAAACAAGTGAATGTTCGTACCTTAACATCTCAAATTTATTTTATCACCATTGTCTTCTTTTGTGACTACAAAGACATTCATACACGCCTCTGATTCAGGAATGCTGTAATGAATACACCTGCTGTCGTGTGACTCTCTTTGAAGTCCATTTTCCCATGGTTTATTCACTGGGGCTTTGTTTTGACAGCATCTATAATAGACTTTTATTTAGTGAAATTTACTGGAACTAGCACCTTAATTTTTCTTTGAGCACTACCATCCCACCATTCTCAGTCCATGTTGTTGGGGCGGGGGTGGCTGTGTCCAAGTCCAGGGACAGGTGTGCCTCAGGCTTCAGCCCGTGTCCTTGGCCACCGTGACTGGCTCAGTGATGGATCTGTGTCCTAACTCACATTAATCAGGTCTAATCAGGGCTCATCTGGGGCTGGGGGGTTTTGCTTGAGCTATTGGGGCAGCAGTATCCTTTTTTCTTTCTACTGGTAAAATTACTGGTGGGATAGGATGTGGCGTTGGAACCAACGGCAGTCGTCTTATCGCCGTGAAGAGTGAGCTTGCTTGCGAATGGAGCAAACACAGAAATACAGAGTAGAGAGATGTGAGAGCTAGAATTTGGGAGAAAAAAAAATCTTTCGTGCCCCTGGATCCAGGTGTGTGGAAGTCAAAAGATACACTCTTGGTTTTCCCACTTTTATAAATCTCTTTATTTTCTTCATTTATTTATTTACTAAAGTCTCTTTGAACTGGAGTTTCTGCCACGTGCAACAAAACGACTGCTGGCTAAACACTTATGGTAGCACTATTGTCAGCCCTAGTACAGGTTTACAGAATGACTCCAGAATTATAAGAAAACTTTGTGAATCAGAAAATTCTAATATCAAAAATATGTTTCTTCCTGAGCTACTATAATTATTCATTACTGTAGACATTTGTTCATCTTACTGAATAAATATTTATTGCAAATATGCCATTGTCTGGCATTGTGTTCTGCTTTATATACAATATTTTTTTTATTAAGGTATCATTGATATACACTCTTATGAAGGTTTCATAAGAAAAACAATGTTATTATATCCTTATATAGAGTCCCCCCTAATACCCATTGCAGTCACTGTCCGTCAGTGTAGTAAGATGCCACAGAGTCCCTTTGTCTTCTCTGAGCTACACTGTCTTCCCCATGACCCCACATACACCGTGTGCACCAATCATGATTAGAGTAATTATTTACTTGATTGTCTTTTTCATTTCTCTGTGATCTTTGGTGAGCAGAACACCCTTGCCCACCCCCAAATAAAACTAAGATTTTGGGGCTAAAAATAGAAGCAAGATCTCTCCATTTGAAATGTGTTTCCTTCTCTGTAGAACTACTAAAGTCTCATATTCTTTGAGAAGGAACAATTAATTTTCCCAAACTCCTCTTTTCTACTCCCTTTACACATTTCCTATATTAATTTACTGACTATAATTTGGAACACTTTAAAATTGTCTCCCTTGATTATGACTAGAATGAATGGGCTGTTCAAGAATAATCCATGTCGGGACCTTACCAATCCTTTGGGATGATTATTTAAAATGAAAATTCCAGCTTTCTCTTGCTCAGAAACACTAAACTGGAGCCTTTTAGATAGAGTCCCACCATTTGCGATTTAACTAGCTCTCTTGGAGAATCGACACACATGCTTCAATGTTTGGAATTACCTAGTAGCTTAGGAAAAAATTCCATAAGCATCCACCACATAGTAAAGGTATGGATTGGCTTTGAGACCTAGATCATCAGAATTTAAATACTTTTTTATCTGCTCTAGTCCCTCAGATAGCAAATAATTATTTTTAATGATCAAAACATTTTGCACAGAAGAAATACTTTCTAAATATTATTTACATATTGTATGAGCAGAATATTATTAAGTAATCATGGCCAAACACTAAATATCATAATGTCTATTTATTGAATTTAATTATAGAGTCTGAACTCTGTCTAATGAGAGATTACCCGACCAATATTAACTTAAGCTGGAAATGTTGAACTGATATTAACTTGAGTTTGGAGTTTTGGAGTTTATTTTAAAATTTGCTTTGCCCTGCCAAAAAAAAAATTTGGCAGAATGGATCCATGTAGTAAGAACAGGATGTGACAATGAGATCTTGCAGTGTAGACAAGCCACCTGCCATCGGGCTTTGGAAAGGAGGACCGAGAGGGAAGCGCGGATCACATTGCACGCTTGGGATGCTTCTGTGTCTGTTTCGTTTGCCAGCGGGAGATCTTACTGTGCCCACAGCACTTCCCGTGCCCTGGTAATATGCTTACATAGTTTATATTTGGATAAAACACTAGAGTGAAATAAAGCAAGTGGCAAAGAGTTTATTTCTCCAGACATGTTAGAAGATTACTGCAGATGTTGGCCTCTGATTCTGGCTGGCTGGCTTTCCTTCACTGACTTCTTTCTTTCACTCATGCACTCAGCAAGGTTTACAAAGTGCCTGCAATGTGCCAGACATTGTACTGAGCACTTGGGGTGGGGCCCTGAGCAATCTGGGCATGGCCTTACCCTCTGTGGTTTATCAGTTGGTTACTCTTATCTGCCCATCTGGTCCTACATGGATGTATCCAGTGAGGAGTGTTTCTCAATTTTTGGAAGAATATTTATGTTCCCATAAATTACAGGCCTATTAGTTTACTAGCTAGTTCATCTAAAAT